ATTACAGGTACTGAGACAACGAAATGCAGTTTAGCTTCTAACCAGGAGTGCAACAAGCAGTAAAGTGAAAAGTAATGTACACAATCTACAGAATAAAATATAGAATGAATTGAATGATGAATAAACAGTGAGGGGTATGAATACACAGCAGCCTGTGAGCAGTATGAACAGTGTGTATGAATATGCTAAGATATATAAAGTATTAAAACGGTAAGCAGTGCAAGTATAGTATAAAATATATGGATATTAATTTCATGATGATAAACATTGTGGAACAATGATGAAAAATGTGAATGGAAGTGGCGACGTAAAACTGACACAAAACAACAACAAACTATTGCCGAGCCAATTGGAGAGCTTCATCAGCAGCACTGGGTACAAATCAGAATCAGACAAACAACACAACAATATGCTAAAAAAGTACTAAGTTATAATATAATAAACAATAAAAAATATGCTAAAAAAGTACTAAGTTATAATATAATAGACAATATGCTAAAAAAAAGATAAAAACTACAAAAGTTACATAATTTTTAAAAATACAGATCAAAAACAAATCAAATCTACAAATCAAATCCTGTAGCAGTTCTTAGGATTTAACAGCCCGGTATATATTACAGTTATTAAAGATGCATATGTATATANATACTATCAGGGTAGGAACAGCACTTTCTTTTCAATAAGGATTTAGGCAATTTTATCAGAGGTGGCCAGCATCAAGAAGAGATGATTTAGGCAAAAAAACAATTTTCTCCAAAATATGACTTAGGCCATTAGTTTAAGAAGGTGACAATATGCAAAAAAAAAAGATAAAAACAAAAAAAGTTACATAATTTTCAAAAATACAGATCAAAAACAAATCAAATCTACAAATCAAATCCTGTAGCAGTTCTTAGGATTTAACAGCCCGGTATATATTACAGTTATTAAAGATGGCATATGTATATAAAGTATATATTGCACATGAAGCACATATTGCACATAGTTTGACGGTATTTAACAGCATGTACATTGTAGAGTCAAAATATGTATGTATCATTAATGCTAAAGCTTCTATTTAGCAATGACCCCTGTTCCCAAAGTTGATATTTTGTTTTTGTTGACAGGGTTACCAGGGTCTGGTGGATGGAGGAGATAATATCCGCCTAGCTACTTGGGAGAGTGTGTCAATGATGCTTCAGCTGGTAAGAACAAGCATGAGGATGTAAAAGCATATTCATCAGCAAGTTCCTTATCTCACCTCTGTTTTTAACTTGTGACGAATTAGTGGAATGGATGATCTTTAACCTTTACAATGCAGTTCTGTAGGTCAAATGGTCATTTAAATGCCACATGTCATTAAATAGCTCAGAACTTAATGGACGTTAGACATTAGGTTTCAGATAACGATAGCCCTTCTTCTCTTGCAGGGTGGGACTGTGATTGGAAGTGCCCGCTGTCAGGATTTCCGTACCAAGGAGGGCCGCACCAAGGCCGCCTGTAACTTGGTTAAGCTAGGCATTACAAACCTGTGTGTGATCGGAGGTGATGGCAGTCTGACGGGTGCCGACCAGTTCAGAACAGAGTGGAGCGAGCTGCTGGCAATCCTACTCAAAGCTGGTTAGAGACTTTTACCCCATAATTCACTGTTCTTAGCAACACAACCCCAAATTAAAGAATATTCACATATCAGCCCTCTACTGATGAATACTAGCATACACGTTTATGTTGTTTTAGGCATGTTAGTTATTTCAATAAATGGTATCTGAGAGTGTTGTCACCTGTGGTCCCAGGTAAGGTCACATCAGCTGAGGCCAAGGCCTCCTCCCATCTCCACATCGTTGGCATGGTGGGCTCCATTGACAACGACTTCTGTGGCACTGACATGACCATTGGCACTGACTCTGCCCTGCATCGCATCATAGAGATAGTGGATGCCATCACAACCACAGCACAGAGGTATGCACGTAACCAGGGTCTAAAATGAAGTGTTTTCCTCAACTGCCTCTACCAAAGGTCAATGAATATTTATATCTTTCAATACCACTCTTTGAATCTATTGACACTTCAGAATTGTAAACTCTCTGTTAGTGATACCAGACAGTAGAAATAAAAAATATATCACGTATCCTTAAATCTGAATAACTTAGGTGCTAATGTCATACCCTGCATGTAACCATTCATAGATTTATTTGATGGATAGACTTGCCATGCAACTTTAACAGTCTTGATCTTAAATGTGTTGTTGTGCACTGCAGTCACCAGAGAACCTTCATCCTGGAGGTAATGGGCCGGCACTGTGGGTGAGTACAGTCTCTGTTGCGAGCAGGAGTGGTTGTTATGTGGTTGGAAAATAATTGATAAAGAAGCTTCACTGCTGGTTACTTTTGACAAAAGTCACATTTATAATATGGAACATAATCTTCGGATACTTCATTTTCAGTTTAATACAAGACATTTGAACCTCAGTGTATGACTCTGCACCTACAGTTACCTGGCTTGTGTGACTGCCCTGGCCTGTGGCGCTGACTGGGTGTTCATCCCAGAGATGCCCCCAGAGGATGGATGGGAGGAGCATCTGTGCAGAAGACTGACAGAGGTAAATATCGTTTTTAATGACTGTGCTATAAGAAAAGTCTGCTTGGGTTGTTGAACGTTTTCTTTTTCATTTTCAGCAAAGAGGCCGTGGCTCCCGTTTGAATATTATCATTGTTGCAGAGGGAGCGATGGACCGCAGTGGTAAAGCTATCACATGTGACAACGTCAAAAAGGTCAGTACAGGCAGAAATGTACACATATACAGAGTGGCTCTTCATATAAGAAATACAATGATAATCTCTCTGTGCAGCTGGTATCAACCAAACTGGGCTTTGACACCCGCACCACCATCTTAGGCCATGTGCAGAGAGGAGGAACGCCTTCCGCCTTTGACAGAATCCTGGTAATTTGTCACACACAAACCTTTTACAAATTCACCAATCCGTCTTTTTTTCCTGTGTTCACTGTGAATAAACACAAACGACCTGCTCCTCTAAGTGTCTGCTTTTGATTATTCAGGCCAGCAGGATGGGTGTGGAGGCTGTGATGGCTCTGCTGCAGGCCACACCAGAAACTCCTGCATGTGTGGTCAGTTTGTCTGGAAACATGGCTGTCAGGCTGCCTCTTATGGAGTGTGTTCAAGTGGTGAGTCGGATCTGGCCCATTCGCAAAACAAATCATTCTTATACATTGTATACTGAATTAAGAAGTGACTTGAATCAGCAAGAAGTTTCTGCTTTTTTTATTGTTGTTCTTATTCAATTCTGTTTCCTTTCATCAGACTAAAGATGTCACCATAGCCATGGGTGAAGGGAGGTTTGACGATGCGGTGATGCTCAGGGGAAAGTGAGACATGCACTTTTGCATGTTCTATTTCAAATAATTAGTGTTGTTTGGAGATGTGAATGCAAATACATTTCTGTGTAATAGGAGCTTTGAGAACAATTGGAACACTTACAAAATGCTGGCTCATGTGCACATCCCGGAAAAAAAGGTGAGAAAGTTGAACCATCTTTGTGTGCATTTACTGTCTCACAGTGGGAAATGTATTCTGACAAATGTCTCTGTGAATGTACACGGGCCGTGCCAGAGTAATATCAACATTGCCATATTGAACGTGGGAGCTCCGTGTGCTGGGATGAATGCTGCCGTGCGTTCAACAGTCAGGGTCGGACTCCTGCAGGGCCACCGGATGCTGGCAGTGCACGACAGCTTCGATGGCCTGGCTCATGGATTGGTAAATTACACTCACATAAAACAACACTTTTTTTCTTTCAGATCATGATAGAGCATGCATTTTTTCCTTGTACAGATTGAGCCTATTGATTGGTCTGGAGTGGCAGGATGGACTGGAAAGGGGGGCTCCAACCTGGGAACAAAAAGGTGAGATATTGCAACAAGCCACCCTGTTGATTGGTTCAGGGCATGATTCTGTCTTATTAAATAAACGTGCAACTTACCATTAAGCATGTGTATCCTGAATGTTCCCCCTTTTTATAAAGGGCACTACCACAAGACTTCATGGACGATATCAGTCTGAACATCGCTAAGTTCAACATTCATGCTCTAGTCATTATTGGAGGCTTTGAGGTAAGCAGTCAAAATGAAGAGTCACTAACCAATAATTAACCGCAGCATTTAAATGCCATGTTACTGATTTCCTACTTCCTGTTTTCACTAGGCTTTTGCTGGGGGTCTGCAGATGGTGCAGGCTAGAGAGAAGTTTGAGGAACTTTGTATTCCTATTGTCGTAGTTCCTGCAACTGTCTCCAACAATGTTCCTGGATCTGACTTCAGTATTGGCGCTGACACTGCACTTAACACTATAACCATGGTAAAACTCTTCAAGAGCACAAAACTAACACAGACAAATTCAAAAAACGAAATCTAAACCATCTCTCTTTTTCAGACATGTGACAGGATCAAACAATCTGCTGCGGGCACAAAGAGAAGAGTGTTCATTGTTGAGACTATGGGAGGACACTGCGGCTACCTGGCAACCATGGCTGGCTTGGCATCTGGTGCTGATTTTGCTTATATTTACGAGGAGAAGTTCAACATTCATGATCTAGAGGTCTGTCCTTGTAAATGTATTAAAGAGACTAGCTTAGGGATGACATGCATTAGTGGTGTAATGGTTGATTTGTGCGTAGTTGAATGTGGAACATCTGGTGGAGAAGATGAAGACAACAGTGAAGAGAGGACTGATTCTGAGGTTTGTTACCCAACCACAGATATTAGTCGAGCAAATGAGTGTTATTAGTGGTTATTCCTATCATTCTCATGTGTCAGATGTGCACAACTGCATTTAATATTTTGAAAAGGTGAAGGGGAAACTTTAAAACAACATGTAACAGATAATGCACATTTAATCAGAATATTATATTTGAACTTCATCTGTCTGTGGCTTATATTTTCACACAATATTAAACATATTTTTCAGAAATGAGAAATCCAATGCCAACTATAACACAGACTTCATCTTCAACCTGTATTCAGAGGAAGGCAAGGGTGTGTTTGACTGCAGGAAGAATGTACTTGGGCACATGCAGCAGGTGAGCCATCAGATGCAGATGTTCTGTTATTGTTGGCACTCATTTTATTTGCCATCAGCTTTAATTTCACAGGGAAACCTTTTGTGTGTTTTAAGGGTGGAACTCCAAGTCCCTTCGACAGGAATTTTGCCACCAAAATGGGGATCAAGGCAGTGCTATGGTTGACTGACAAGCTAAAGGACTGTTACAGACATGGTGAGGACTGTTTTGTACAATTGTGGTGTGATTATTCTTGTGCTCTCTGGAATCATGTATACTTTATTTTTATCCTAAAACCTCCAGGTCGTATCTTTGCCAACTCTCCGGATTCTGCCTGTGTGCTGGGCATGAAGAAGAGATCTTTGGTCTTCCAGCCTCTGTCAGAACTTAAAGATCTCACTGACTTTGAGTAAGACTATCCTGCCAATGTGTTACTTCAACTCTTCTGCATTGTTTTATATTTACTGACATTGTTTTATTAAGTGTTTCGAAAACCCAGGGTTAAAGTAAATTAAAGTCATTATTAAAAATAACTTCATATAATGCTTTTGAAAAACAAGTTTTAAAAGTGCTTTACAAAGACTTAAAATGCAAGACATATTATCACACTGAAAAAATTAAAATGTTGCCTTTAATGAAATGTATTATGTCCAAAAAAAATTGCACATATCTGTATGAGGTTAGTTGAAAGCAATAATATTAAGTTGAAACTACATATTTGTATTTTAACTAAATATTATTGCTTTCAGCTAACCTAATACAGTTATGTGAAATCTGTTTATTTATTTAAAGGCAACGTTTCAGTTTTTTCACTGCAGATCAAATCAAATTGAGTTGATAGGTTAATATGACATGTGATGTGTAATTTACCAAATAAAGCAGAAGTATTACCAACTAAGAGAAAGCTATTCTAGTAAGAATATGAAGCTTAAGCCCCCTTGGTGAGTGCAATCACGTAATTAAGCTTTAATTGAAATACCTTACCTAAATAATTTGACTTCCTAGGCTTCAAGAGTATTGTTCTTGTTTTCAGTTTCAGCTTTGCACTGACAAATGTTGTCCTCCATAGGCACCGTATTCCCAAGATACAGTGGTGGCTTAAGCTGAGGCCCATCCTGAAAATCCTAGCCAAGTACAAAACGGATCTGGACACAACTGAAAAGGCTGAGATAGAACATGTCATCAAGAAGAGAGCTGGTGTTCCTTAGTTGCCGTTGTATGTCTATTTGTCTTCTCTTAAAAGCACTTTGTAAACACCGACTATGAAAAGTGCAATATAAATAAAGATCACAAGTATATCCCCACACAGCAAGTCTCACAGGTGATTTTTTTTTTTACAGAAACAAATTACATTGTATTTGTGTGGTCTGGTTTATAGCTGCCTTCAATAACTTATTTTTTCATTGCAGTTGTTTTATTCTGTTATCAAATGTCCTTTCTGTCCCTATATAAGTTCAATTGAAATCTGAACTAAGTCATATCTAATTCATACTTTTTCCAAATTCCATGTCACATCCATGCTTGCTTACCTTTCAATCCACATACCTATTAAATAATCTAATTAAAACAAAAGATTACAAATAGATTACCTTAAATATGGTTTATTATAAGTAATGGTCGTTTGCATTTATACAGCTTTGTTCACTCACCCCCTCAGCCCTATAAAGATTAATTGGACAGAAGTCCATATGAAAATATTTTTGCCCCTGCATTTTCTCGATGATGGGAAGTTTGAACTGTTGTATAGGCTAGTTGCACAAGATGGCGTCTATCAACTTCCGGCGGCTGGGTGTGAGCCCGAGTACTTCCGGTCTTCGCGATCACTCACTGTACGGAGGCTCAGTCATTGGTACACATTTATTTATAAAGCTATGTTGGGCAAACTCCCGTATTACATCTGTTCACTGATAAAGCAGAAAGTTGCAAGCAGCTATTGTCTGAGATCGCATGATGTAGTCTTGTTAGATGTGCCAAGAGTAAGGACTGTCTTAGGTAAGACAGCTTTTATGTGCGCAGCTCCACTTGCTTGGAACAGTCTACAGCTAAAATTGAAATTGAACAACAACAACCCCCCCCATCTTTCCCCCTTTCTACCGCGACAAGACACAAACAAGATTAAGGCAGTTGTTAATGCCCCTGACGAAAGTCTAAAAAGGCAGTGTAACAAGTTTTTTCTACGGCAGTAATCTTGCCTTTATATTAGGCCATTGCGCTGGGAGACACCTATGTGATTACAAAGTAAAGTAAAGTTTGGAATGATAAACATAAGTCTACCCAGGGAACTCTAGTCATCTAGAGAAAAGTTCCCTCTGGGACGTCGTTAACATTCAAGTGTACTCTTGTATTTTGTTGGTATTTTTGTTGTTATCTCCTAAGTATGGGTTGTATAAATGTAATGGAATTCTGTAAATGGTTATGGTATCAAGTCTTTCAGTAAAGTGAATCTGCACGAAATTTTTGTAAAGTCTCTTTATTG